AAAAAAAAATTTCCTTGCCAGCGTACCCCATGTTGCTTAGAGGAAGGACTCGTGGAAATGGACTTGCTTTGGACATTCGCTGTGACATTGCAGGTATGTTTGAGAAAGATGACCCTGCTCAAAGACCAGGGTGGATCCTACTGGATTAGGGCGGATCCAGATTTAGGGTGTATCCTGCAGGTTTTAGGGAGTAGCTCCTTGGATTTAGGGCGTTCCCGGTTTAGGACAATCTGGGTTTAGGACGGTTCCAGGTTTAAGGTTATTCCTGCTGGGAATAGGGCGTATCCTGCTGCCTGAGTTCCCGTTGAGTTCTCGTGGGATTCAGAAAGTATTTGGGATGGCCGGTGTGAGTTGGGAATAAAGAATTGCTGTTTGAATCTACAAAGCTGTGACTCATGATCTTGTGACCAGCCAGACTGCGGCAACAGGGGCCACTGCAACCTGACGCAGGACCCAGCAACAGGTAATGACCAGCCATTGGACCTGTGGCCTTGGAGAGGAAGCTGAGCTACTCCAAGCACTTCTGCCAGCTCTGTTGGGGAAAATCAAGTCACAAGTCCTGCCCTCCACCCCAGGAGACCCATTAAAGCCTGAATCCGACTGGGAGCCACTTCAGCAGGTGTCTAACAAACTCTACTTCTATAGGAGCAAATCCAAATCACCCTAGTCATGACAGCTGGGCCTTAGAGGCGACCTCCCTATTCCCCGCCCACCTTTCCCTCCAGGAAGATACAAAGGAGGGGTGATTGGAGATGCCACCCCAGGACCAGGGTTAGGGCTCAGAAAAGGAATCCTGCTAGAGAGAATTTGTAGTGCAAAATGTGCGTTTGCTTGCAGGTGTTCTTTGTTCTTGTTTATGACTTTCTTCTCATCCTCTGCCCACCCTGTTCCCTCACTGTCATTTGTGTGAGCACACTGGCCTCCCAGAGGACACGCACCCCACCCCTTCCCTGCATCTGCTGGGTGGGCCTCAGCTCTCAGCCCATGCAGGGCTCCTGCAGCTTCCCTGTAGGAGCCAGACATGGAAACTTTTCACCTAGAAAAGCAGCCTTTTCATTTTTTCTCAGAGTTGGTGTTTGATTCCCAAACAATTCTGGGGCATGGTAGTTGGCCTGGAAAACACTTGGAGAGGCCTGGGACACAGCATCATCCTGCTGGGGAGCACCTTCACGAATTCAGGTGGCGTGAAAAGCCAACCCAGCAGCTGCACATGGAAATTCCGTGTATATCACCTCTTTAAAGGGCCCAAACTTCAGAAATAGAGGAAAGATCAAGGATTTGCACTGGGGACAGCATGGGGGGGGCTGGATCCTGGGGGTGATGGAACAGCCCATCATGTACCTTGATGCACACAGGAACACCCAGGCAAAAGTGACCCAAATGCAGAAAGGGGGTGTGCTGTGCTGCTTACAACTGCATGTGGTCTGTAGTTGCCTCAAGAGAACAGTCCAACGAGGCACTCAGTGAAAAGTGGCACAGTACTGAAATGTACCCAGTCAGACACCAGGTAGGTCCAGGTCAAGGCCCTCTGCCCACGAGGGCTTCTGAGGAAACCCATACCTCTTTAAGGCTAAATTGACATCATTTCAAAATTTTTAATAATGTCCACCCACAAGAGCACTTGAGGATAAAACAGTGGCCACCTGGTGACCCTTGGGGTCACATGTGAGTATCATGGACCATGGCTTCAGCCAGAGCAGCAGAGGTGTGAGCTCCAATGCCCTGGCTTGCAGAATTTATAATGAATATCCTCAGTCTACTTAGCAAATGCTTGAAACCCTACAGATCTCACCAAGATGTGTGTCAAGTACTCTATGTGTCCCCAGCTTCACACCAGTCACCCCACCCCCACTCCACGGATGAAATCCAGGAGCCTCATTAGAGGGGCAGCACTGAGTCCTCTTCACAGGGAGGTTGACTGGCCAACTTCCACTCACTAATTCAGCAAATAAATTCCAGTGTCTGCCATGTGTAGCAGGCATTGTGCAAGGTGGATTTAGAGCTTTCCATATAAATTTTGGAGTCTGAGGCCCAAAACACCATGCTGAGCGACAGAACAGATGGAGGACAGTCCCAAGAAAATGTACACATGCCCATGTCCACTCTGAAACCCAGTGTCAGGGGCCACCCTGCACATGAGCTAGGCACACCCTGATTCCATGGCACAAGCAGGACATGGGCAATAACCCAGAGCCCAATGGCCCCTTGGCTGGGGTGTGGTCAATGATAGAGATGTGCCTAGCACACTCCAGACCCTGGGTTCCATCCCCAGTACTGAGAAAGGAAAAAGTGCTCCCAGGTCCAGCCAAAGTTAGGAAGGTGTGGGTTTTGCTCCCTGAGGGTTCATGGTCTGGCCTGGCACAAAGTCTCTCACAGAAGCAGCCGCCTACCACCTGCTGCTCGTGTCACCAGCATCTCTGGGAAAGATCCCCAAAGCAGGCCTCATGGCTCCCACTCTTCCCACAGAGCCTGCAGCCCTCCAAGAGAGCTAAAGCTTCATACATGCCAATGGGGGCCCCAGAGCCCAGGTCACCTCCACAGGTGGAGGACAGGCCATTCCTAGGGGTAGGAGTTCCTGGGGCCTGAGGTTCAGAACCAGGAAGCACCCCAACAAATCCTGGGTCTTGGAAAATGGAAGAGAGTAAGCCCATGGTGAGCCTTGAGGGGGGTGAGCACTGTCCTCCAAAATCCATATCCCCATGGGGCCCCAGAATGTGAAACAGGACCTTATTTGGAAATAGGTCTTTGCAGATGTGATTAGTTAAGATGAGGTCATGCCAGAGTAGGGTGGCCCTGAGGCAATGACTGGTACCCTTACAGGAAGAGGAGATACCACAGGAGGTTGCAGGTGGAGATCGGAGCAATGTGACCTCAAGCTAAGGGACACCGAAGTCCCCAGAGACTAGAAGCATCAGGAAAGACCCCCCGCCCCCCCCCCCCACACACACACACACTGGAGCTGCAGAGGGACTGCAGCTCCATCGACATTTGGTCTTGGACTTCTGGCTCCCAGAACTGTTAGACAATGCTGAGAGCCACAGCCAGGTAGGAACGACGCCTGGCATTTGGGGTTGAAAGGTGACCCTGCTCAGGGATTATGGTGGCTCGGGTTTAGGGTGGATCCGGCTGGGAATAGGGCAGCTCCAGGATTAGGGCGGATCCTGCTGCCTCAGGCCGCTCCTTTGGAGTTCCCGTTGAGTTCTCGGGGTTCTGAGAGAATTGGCGCGGAGCCCGGTAGGGGCAGGGTGTTTCCGGGAAGTGTGTGTAGAGTGTCGGTGAGAGTTCCGGAATAAAGAGTTGCTGTTTGAATCTACAAGGTTTTGTGGTGGCTCGGTGATTTTGTGCCCAGCCAGACTGCGGCAAGGCAATACTTTTCCGTTGTTTTAATCACCACCCAGTTTGTGGTGATTTGTTACACCACCCCCAGGAAACTCCTTCAAGCCTCAAATAGCTTTTCCTTGTCCTTGAGGACAATCCTTACCCTGAACACAGCACCTCACCCCTGACAAGCACTTCCCCAGGAAAAGGTTTGCAGGTGCTGTGAGCAGTACCTGGTACTGCCAAGATTCAGGTCCCCAGGCCTACTGGTCCCCACCCACTCAGGACTGGGGAATCTGTTTTGCCAAGCCTCACAGGTGGTTCTCAGTTCCAAACAAATTTGAGAAACTCTGTCTCAGGGGAACTTAGGAGTCTGTCTTAGCCTGGAGGGACAAGGAAATTAATGGTAGATGGGCAACAAGTAATCAGAAGTGGGTGAGAGAAGTGACCTGTGACATCTGTCAAAGCCATTTGTGCCTGGGAGGCACCTGTTCTCCAGAGCACCCCAACACTGCTGCAGACTGTCACCAGGCGTGATGGAGTGCCAACATGGACTCAGACGTCCAACCAGCTGCTGACACCTTGCTGTGTGGTGCGTCCAGTGCCCCTGGCACCCCAGCCATGGAGTCTCCTCCCAGAGCATCACAGACCACTCAGGAATCATCACACAGCTCTGGAAGCACAGCTTTGTGCAGAATATACGTTCATGATTTTCCCAAACTGGGATGAAATAGGTATGCACACTGGACACTGGCCTATGTCCGTACCACAGTGACGGTGACCCAGTGAGGGTGTCTGCTAGTGTCAGTAGTGAGGACCTCCCATGACTTGGGCATCAGCCAATGTTGGTGCACATACAGGCTGCCTCTTACCTGCTGTTACTGTGGATGACAGACCACATCCTCATGCCTCTCACCTGCCCCTCAGCCCCTCGGCTGCCTGGTGTGGAGCTGCTGGGTGTGACAGAGTGACTGACAGGCATCTGCCCTCCATCGCCAACACCAGCTGTGGGATGCAGGCTTACAAAGGCACTCAGGTGTGCAGTGGCCCCGGCCTCCTACTCCTTGGGCCCACGTGGGCAGTGAGCTGCTATTAATAAAAGTAGTAAGTCTATTAAGTTAATCCTAAATAATTCACTTTAATTTTTACTATTGAATTTTATTGGGGCTGGGCTGTGGCTCAGTGGCAGAGTGCTAGCCTAGCATGTGTGAGGCACTGGGTTCGATTCTCAGCACCACGTAGAAATAAATAAAATAGAGGCATTCTCTCTATCTAGAACTACAAAAATAATAAATTTATTATAAAATTATAAAATAAAACCCTAAAATCATAGACATAGTCTCTGGTGTTACCCTGTTCTTATAGTCAAATAT